TTAACTTAGAACATCAGCCCGATAACCCATTTTGTTTGTAACTTTCATTCACTGGATTTGTCTGTACTCGTCACTGTTCCCACTCATCAAACTTATGAGATACTTAAAAATTTTAAGGGGAACAGCAATATCTGTTGGACATAGAATGACAGACTACTTTTATGTCATTTCAACCAAAGAATTTAAAATTTAGGAGGCATTAGAACATCCTTTTGGTTTATAGATGATCATAAAAATATTACTGAAGCTAAGAATGTACTGAGCAGAAAAGTAATCAACCATGAATATGCTCTTTAGTAACCTATACAAATTATATATTAGTTACACTGATACACATTTAGTTGGCCAGGCATACAAAACAGGTCAAGTTAAAAGGAGGTGCCTATGAGATAATTTTCAAATTATGGTCATACTTGTGTCCTTTACAAAATATATTATTAAGTTTCAAAGATGTGATAAAGAAACACATCTAGGTTTTTATCATCCATAACTATCAGAATTTGGAGATAGCTTCAGGAAACAGTTTTCAAAAAGGTGAAGCCTATTGTATTTGAGTATCTTGAAATAATACTTTAGATGGAAAATAAAGATTATTCAGTAAGACCAAAGTTTAAATATTTGTCATTTTCAACATTGACTCAAAGCAAAGATCAGATTGGATATAAATATTCTGTATCGTGGGCCTTTCAGGTCAATCTTCAGACTATATTGAAAACAATTATGGACAATGTAATTTTGTATTCCTAGAGTTGCTCATTAGTGCTTTAATCTGAACTATGGAGCAACAAAAACCTGTTTCTCTAGGTCACCTGAAATGTTCCTGCCCGAACTTTAGAGAACCTCACATTTCCAATATGAAGCTCATGTCAGTACAGACAAAACATGCCTCGGGACAAGTGGGGGTAAGGCAGTGCAAAGAAATGTGATTGGCAGGTTTCCATTTTTCTATCATTGGTCAAGAGCAATACAGTATTAAAGAGACAGCTTTCAGTCCTTCGGCGTATGGGGGATTTTCTGAGTGTAACTGGGTCAGATGCTTGGGATCTTCTTTGAAGTGGAATGCTAGGCCAGGTGCTTGGGAACAGATTGAATCAAGCCTTTCCGAATACATCACAGATCATTTATGAAAACTCATATAACCAATTGTAAATTGTTACTCCTTTCCAAGGTAAGTATAATATGATTGGACTGGGTCTACATTGATCTAAGGTGATATTCACAAAGTAATAATGACAACAGTGAGTCCTCACATAGAAAGAGTGAACTTGCTAATCATTGCAGCGCTGGATATGTAACTAATATGTATATCCCCACCCCACTCTCTCTCCCTCCTACCCTTCTCTCTCTTCCCTCTGTTCCTCCCTCCTCTATCTTACTTTCACTTTCAAGGAACCTTTTTATAAGAAAATAAAATGACAAAAATTTTAAGAAAATTTTGTACGTTTTCATCATGTGGCTATGAACACCAAAGTAAAAAAAAAATATACTTTAATGTTAAAAACAACCAACCAGTGCAGACACAGTCTAATCTTCGGCAGTGTTCAACTGGTAAGTGCTGGAATGTCAGCAGGGACCCTGATCAGTCATGTATCAGTGATAAACATTAAGGAAGTTGGAATATGACCTAATGGACAGTAATTACAAATCTCATTACATAAATAAATGTCTGGAAACTTTGTGCTGTTTCAAACCTAGACAACCAGACTGGGCACTCTGCAATGATAAGCAGATTACACAATGGCAGTATAATTATGCAATTGGGTGTGCTGTATATGAGCCTAGTGCTAATTTACTTTAATGACCTCTTTTTGTGGGGAGTAGGGGAGCTTTGAGACGAGAGTTTTTTCTCTGTGGCTTTGGAGGCTGTCTTATAACTAGCTCTTGTAGACCAGGCTGGTCTTGAACTCACAGAGACCCACTTGCCTCTGCCTCCCAAGTGCTGGGGTTAAAGGCATGCACCACTAGCACCCGACTTTGATGCGCTCTTTTAAAATTATTTTTTATTTGGCTTTGTAAGAACAATCCTGAAGCAGAAGTACTTTGCCTTTTCTGGCATTTCTTTTCTTTTTCCGATCTGAAATGCACCCAGCTGCTCCTGTGCAATAAAAACTGAATCACGAAACAAAATGGCTCTTGGAGCTTCAACCTCAAGTCAGCTCGTGATGAGCAACCTTGCATATGATACTGGAAATAGCCAATAGAAAAATGCTGAACATTCTACATTACAAAATGTCAAAATAGTATGCAATTGACGTACCTTTAAAGGCAAGCTGCTTCTTTCTTTATAAATCTGCCCCTAAAAATGACTATATGATATTGATAATTATTCTAAAATCAGTATGTAAAAAAAGTCCAAAAGTCTTTAAAAAGTCTGTGCAGTGGCAGCATTGATCAGGCCCTTCTACAAATACCCCACAAGTACCAGTTGTGACCATATTCCCATTTTATGGGTATCTGGCATGTCACCACCACGTCATGGCCGTGTATTTTCAGGAGGATACTAGAAAGATTGCTTCCAACATGAGGATGTCCAGCTTAGCCCAATGTGTAGACACTGGATCCTGGGTACAGTCAGCTCAGTGGGGACACTGAGAGTACTGTTTTTGTTAAGTGAGAGTACTGTTGGCTCTATGGCAGTACTCTGGAAAGTCTAGGATGAAGTCAGGTTTCCAGTGCCCAAGTGGGGTTAAGA